TCTTCCTCAGATTAAAATCTATTGAAGTTGTTGTAACCCATTTTCTATATTAAAAAACCAAATTTGGAGCCATACTACTCTCGGTGGCCTTGTTCATTGATTGCTGGATCTGTTACTAAAATATGTGAGGAATCTAGAGAGTAGAGAGAGAAGTTGTATTATACTTTCCGTTTCGCTTTATGCTTTAAATTAGAGGGAACATAATTTGATTTGAGCAATTTATGATAAATTTCAAACCAAACCACGTGAAGAGGTTTATTATTATTATTATTGTTCTTTTTTTTCAAATCAAACCAAACAACTTCTTTCGATTTGGATTGGTTTAAAACCGAAGTTTAAATCATAAATATTATTCTAAAATTTCATGTTAGAATGTTAAAAACTAGTATCATTATAAATATTAGAAAACAAAATTCTACACTTCTAATCATTATAATATAACAATAAGATAAGACAAATTTAGTTCTAACCTCTTAATCGTACTAATTGGTACAACCATCTTTGCACTCAATGAACTTCAAAAGAATCAAGAATTTTACCACTAGTAGGAAATGCAAACTCAAAAGCAGTTATTAATATTTGAATAGTTCGCACATCTTTTGTCATATGATCGAAGATATTGCACTTATTTACATTCAATTTCTACCACCAAAGTAATATGTCAAAAGTCTTGGTCAAATCTTCATAACGACCATTTCATTTATCCACCAAATGTCCAAATGTATATATCAATTAATAGTAAATCTAGCAACTAAATTAAAAATAAATATTAAATTGAGTGACATAATCAAGAGACTGAGAAATAGATTAACAAAAAATAAACTTCAACTAAAAATTTTAAGGGAATTTGGGACAAATCGGAACAAAACAACACAATTATCAATAAAATATGGCAATTAATTATAGAAAATTTAAGAAAAATGGGTAAAGTTTGCTAAAAATTGAGCCAAATTTTGAGACATTGATTAGTAGAAGGGAAAAAAAGTGTGATAGTTTGATATAAAATTTGTATTTAACTATCTATCTAATTGTGATGGGTGATCCACGAATATGGTTCAGCAGCATTTATTTAACACTTCAACCAATTTGAGGGCTTGACATACAATTGTGATGACCGATGGATAATTGGATATGGATTAATTGATTAATTGAAATGGGCAATTGGCTAATTGGGTTGGGTCTAATATTAATGTATATTTATGAAAATTGAAACCTATATCAAACCATTTCGAAATGGTTTGGCTCTATTCAAAATTAAAATGTTGACGGATCCACATGGATCCAAACCAACAATTTCGAAAAAACATATTCATTTTGATTTTCGGTTTAACGATGTCGTTGTTCAACCCTACTCTATATAGAAAGAAGGGAAAATGATTTTTTTTTTAATTAATACCTGAATATTGTATAAACTTCTTAATGACCCGAAATTGTAATGGTGGAAATTACATCTTGCCATGGTTTTCAAATTCTCAATTCAAAAATTAAATTTGAAAGTATTTGTTCGAAAATCAGGTAATAATTTAACCCTTTTAATATTATAAAATTAAAATAATCTACTCCAACACCCACCACACAAAACCTTAATTCATCTTTCAAAAAACATTTTTGACTTCATTTTCCACCTTCCCTCTAGCCAACCCTCCGGTATTCTAAGTGCTCATGCGCTCGGTGACAAACACTGAACTAATAATCGACATGGGCAGCAATAGGTGCAACACTGACGACAGGCACTGCACTGGACATTGCGGTCAACTATAGGTACATCACCGATGCTCATGCACGCTACTCTAGAACCACATCCATCACCATTGCACACGAAGCAGCGGCGCACGCACCCATCGTCCCTACCTCTTGTGTTGCGCCCATCTATTTCTCTTCTACATCAATTTTTTCTGGTAGAGGTGAAAAGGATGGTGGATTTGAGGTGGTGGTAAGGATTGATGATATAGGCGGTAGTAGTGGTGTGGTCGCGACGTCAGCAATTTGGGGATTATATTGTGAAAGTAGTGGTTGTAGTTACAAGAAGAGGTGGTGGCTCTACGTGCGTTGGCTCTAATTTTGGATCAAGTTATCTAGTGATTTTGTTCGCAGTGTTTTTAGTTGGTGGTGGTTGTCAAGGATGAAGCTATAGATTCTCAACCTTAATCCCAGCATTTTCATTGACCCATAATTGTAGCCTTTCACTTTGTCTGCTCAATTTTTTTATTCAATTGTATTATTTCCATTTCATTGTAATCATGCCATATACAATGATGTAAATGTGGATATAAATATGATATCAACTCACCACTAGAAAGTGTGGTGATTTTCAAACACTTTCATGGTATCAAACCACACTATGGATTAACATCCCTTATACAATCCTATCTCCATTTCCATGGCTTTTGAATCCTCCTCCAACCTTCTTCCTTTCAATATCCACATGGTTACAATCAAACTCTCCTCTTCCAATTATCTCCTATGGAAGAGCCAATTGCTTTCCCTTTTAGAGAGCCAAGAACTAATCAGCTATGTGGATGGAACTATAGAAACTCCACCCCATTTTACCCTTGAAAATTCTCGGACACCAAATATAAAACATGTGGCATGGAAACAAACTGATCAATGTCTCCTTAGTCTTCTATTGTCCTCTCTCACCGAAGACGCCATGGCAGAAGTGGTAGGGCTCTCTAACTCACGCGAGGTGTGGGTTGCCTTAGAGAATACCTTCAGCCACTGTTCCAAGGCCCGTGAAATCCATCTCAAAGATGATTTGCAGCTGATGAAACGACGTACCAGGTCTGTTTCGAAGTACGCCGACACCTTCAAGGCCCTATGCGATCAGCTCCACACAATTGGATGACTCGTCGATGGCATCGACAAAGTGCACTGGTTTCTCCGAGGTCTGGGGTCAGAATTCTCGACCTCCTCTCAAATGGCTCTTACTCCTTTGCCAAGTTTTCCATATCTTGGGCCAAAAGCAGAGAGCTTTGATCTTTTTCAAAAATCCCTGGAGCCGGCTGCACCGTCCCCGCAGTGTTCACAGCAACCAATCGCTACGCTGTGAAGATGAATCAGCGAAGCTCCTTTTCTCGCAACCAACACAGTCGAACTAGCAGCCATGGATGAAGACAATGACGCTTCACCAGCATACGACCCCCACGCTGCCAAATCTGTCGCGCAAAGGTTCACTATGCATACCGGTGCCAACAACGGTATGACTGCCATGGTCATACTCCCGAGGCTCAATTTGCAGAAAGCCTCAATTCTTCTGCTCCGTCTCTGAACATAAGGCTTCTTATTGGTATTTAGATACAGAGGCCTCGGCCCATATGACTCCAACCCAAACTTTCTTGGATCAGTCCACTTCTTATATGGGTAAGGATTGTGTTATTGTCGAAAATGGTGCCTCCCTACCCATCACCCATACTGGTAAACTCTTCAATCCTCCGATTTTCAACTGTTAGATATTTTGGTTGTTCCTCACATCACTAAAAATCTTTTGTCCATTAGTAAATTAACGAGTGACTTTTCGTTATCTGTTACGTTCACTAATAATTTTTTTCACTATTCAGAATCGCTAAACGGGAAAGGTGGTGGCAATCGGTAAACGAGATGGTGGGCTATATGTGCTAGAACGTGGCAATTCAACTTTTATTTCTGTCCTAAAAAATAAATCTGTTCAGACTTCATAAGATTTATGGTATGCTCATCTTGGACATGTGAATCACTCTGTTATTTCTTTTCTAAATAAAAAAGGACAGCTTTCTCTTACCTCCGTATTGCCATCCTCTGTGTTATGTAGTACATGTCAAATTGCAAAGAATCATCGTCTACCCTATTCTCGTAATGAACATCGATCTTCAAAGGTATTAGGACTTATTCATTGCGATCTATGGGGCCCATCTCCCGTAAAATCAAATTTGGGTTTCCCATACTATGTTTTATTTATTGATGATTATTCTCGTTTCACTTGGCTTTACCCATTAAAATTGAAATCCTACTTCTTTAATACTTTTATTCAATTTCCAACGTTTGTGGAAAATCAACGTTCTGTTCGTATAAACAAATTTCCAAGTGACGGTGGTGCAGAATTCACTAGCAACTGCTTTAAAGCACATCTTAGTACCTGCGGTATTAATCATCAACTCTCTTGCCCTTATACACCCATACAAAATGGTCGTGCCAAACGAAAACATCGTCATGTTACTAAAACAAGTCTGGCTCTACTTTTCCACTCTCATGTTCCCACTCATTTCTAGATTGACGCTTTTAGCACTGGGGCTTACATCATAAACCGCTTACCCACACCGCTTCTCGGAGGTAAGTCACTCTTTCAGCTTTTATATAATTCCTCTCCCAATTATGAAAACTTTCATCCATTTGGTTGTCATGTTTATCCTTGCTTACATGATTACATGACTAACAAGTTCTCCCCTCGTAGCATTCCTTATATTTTTATTGGTTATAATTCATCTTACAAAGGTTTTTGTTGTCTTGACCCCACTACCTCCAGAATTTATGTCACTCCTTATGCCCAAATTGATGAAAACCACTTTCCTTTCCAACATTCCTCACAAGCCCAGCCCATATCCTCTCCCCAAATCTCAAATTTTCTGGAATCAAATCTGCTTCCCACAAGCATATCCCCACATTCTCCTACACCACATTTTCAACATATTCCTCAATCTGGATCCAACCTGTATATTATTTGTACTGATCCAGTGGATGAGCCTTTGTAGGCAACTAATACAAGTCCATCTCTATCACAATCAGATGTTAGTCCAGCTTGTCCGGAGCCTATCACCAAATTACCTATTGTTGAATGCACTTTTATTGTTGCTGCTCCATTGGGTTCCCATCCTATGCTCACACGAGCTAAAGTTGGCATCTTCAAAACGTGCCACCTAGCGCATCTCGAACTTGTGGGTTCCTCTAGCCTTCTTCATGCTCTTCTTGCATCTACTGAGCCTAAATGATTCAAATCTGCCGATAAGAATTCCGCTTGGCTCGCTGCCATGGATGAAGAAGTTCAAGCCCTGCTAAACAATCGCACCTGGATATTGGTTCGTCGCCCCACCAACACCAACATTATAGGTTCCAAATGGGTGTTTCGAATCAAATATTTGCCCGATGGATCTATCGAGCATCTCAAAGCCCGTCTTGTTGCCAAGGGCTACACGCAAGTACCTGGTCTTAACTACACTAATTCTTTTAGCTCTGTCATCAAGGCTACCACAGTCCATGTTGTACTCTCTCTTGCTGTGACCAACAAATGGCCTTTTCGACAACTTGATGTTAAAAATACGTTCCTAAATGACTATCTTACTAAACATGTTTATATGGAGCAACCTCCTAGGTACATTGACCCACACTTTCGTAATCATGTTTTTCAGTTGTAGAAAGCTCTATATGGTCTAAAGCAAGCCCCTCGTGCTTGGTTTCAACGTCTCAGCTCTTTTCTCATTCAACTTGATTTTTATTGCAGCCGTGCAGACACGTCACTATTCATTTATCATAAGCACTCTGACATAATCTATTTGCTTCTCTATGTTGATGACATGATTATTACATGCAACAACTCATCTCTCCTTGCTAGCTTTACTTGGAAACTCAATTATAAGTTTGCCACCAAAGACTTGGGTCCTCCCAGCTCCTTTTTTGGTCTCGAGTCTACAACCACCTCTGATGGCCTCTTCATCAATCAATTGAAATATACACGAGACATTCTCACACGTGCCCAACTACTTGACAGCAAACCTATTCATATCCCCATGATAGTATCCCAGACCCTATCTGCTGATGGTCTTTTGTTCTCGAATCCTACACTTTACAGATCTCTTGTTGGTGCTCTCCAATATTTGATCATCACCCTTCCAGATATTGCTCATGTCGTCAACTCTATCAATCAATTTCTCCACTCTCCGATTGAAGACTACTTTCTTGCTGTCAAATGCATTCTTCTCTATGTTAAAGGCATGCTGCATTTTGGGCTCATTTTTCGCCCATCCGCTGCTCCTAGTACTTTAGTTGCTTACTTTGATGCAGATTGGGCAGACTGTCCCGATACTCACCGTTCTACCTCTGGTTACTATATTTATTTTGGCGGTAAATTGGTTTCTTGGAGTGCCAAGAAGGAACCTACCGTTTCTCGCTCCAGTTGTGAATCTGAGTATCGTGCTTTAGCTCTCACTACTGCTGAACTTCTTTAGCTCACACTTCTTCTCAGCAACCTCAAAGTATTAATTCCACAATGGCCTCTCCTCCTATGTGACAACAAGAGCGCCATCTTCTTAAGCTCTAATCCAGTTTTTCACAAACGGGCCAAGAATGTTGAACTTGACTACCACTTTCTTCATGAACGTTTTCTCGCTGGCAAGCTTCACACCCAGTACGTGCCCTCTCATTTGCAAGTTGCTAACGTCTTTACCAAAAGTGTGTCCAAACCTCTATTTGAACTCTTCCGATCCAAGCTTCACGTACGCTCGAATCCAATGCTCAGCTTGAGAGGGGTGTCAAGGATCAAGTTATAGATTCTCAGCCTTAATCCCAGCATTCTCATTGACCCATAATTGTAGCCTTCCACTTTGCCTGCTCAATTTTTTCATTTAATTGTATTATTTCCATTTCATTGTAATTATGCCATATACAATCATGTAAATGTGGATATAAATATGATATCAACTCACCACTAGAAAGTGTGATGATTTTCAAACACTTTCAATGGTGATGTTGGTTGCTGTTCTAATTTTGGATCTAGTTTCAGGCTATGGTTCGGGATATGGGTCCATTTATAGTTATTACTTCTGTGAACATAGTAGGTAAATAATCTCAATGTGTTACATAAGGCAAATATTGTATAATTGTTCGATTTTTCACAGAGGTTGTGGTGTGATGTTAGTGGAGGTTGTGATGGTCGTGGCGGTCACTGATAAATTTGGATATGATATTTTTGTGGTGTTTGGGTGGTGGTGGTTTTGATGTTGACTACATTGGTGAAGTGGTGGTAATGTTGGCTGCTAGTAATATTGGTGGTCGTGGTTGTCGTGGTGGTGCGATGGTTGTGGGTAGGATGGCGTGGGGTGAGAGCGTTTGTGACCAATTATTTGGTTTATTGTGACCAATAATTTAGTAAATTTATGATCAATAAATAATATGTAACCAATTATTTGAGATTATGATCAATAATTTTGATAATTTTTTGACCAATAATAATATGATCGATAACTTGTGGTCAATAAATAATGTAACCTAAAAATTGAGTATTGACTTATAAAATTTGTAATTTGTAATCGATATATATATATATATTTTAAGGAAATATTGTAACTTAAAGGATTAAAAGGAAATAACTGAAGATATTATCTCTTACCTTCTCAATTCCTAAAATATAGGCAAATCGGTTATAATTTCTCTCACATTCAAAACAACAAACCTAGGCCAACGTTCATCATCAATATTATTTCACCTTGAAAAAAACAGATTTATTATCCTTCCATCATTTCTCCATAACTTCACGAACATTTCTCCAATATCAATTTCACCTTCTTCTACTCACAGCACTTTTATCAATTTTATTAGTTAAGAAATTCCCAACCAATCTTCTACCAATAATTATTATTTCAAGTCGTAGTTTCGAAAATTTTGTGACAAGATTTTTCGACCATCTACACACATTTTTTCGATCACTTATAGATAGAACCAAGAACCAAGAGGCTTTTCGATATCAACTGATTTTTTGGCATGATTCTAGAATTTTCAAAGTTCTTCAAAGTCATGATTTCTTCTCCCACCAATATTGGAAGAATTTCTGTCCAAATCTAATTTCAATCATCGGATTTCACACGTGTGAATTTGAATACACTGAACGAATCTTGGTAGATGTTGAAATTGTGACTTCATCTAAAAATTATGCCTATCCATGGCAAAATAAATATTTTGAGACTTCATCTATTACATTGTTTGTATCTGGATTTGACCTATTATAACTGTCAGACTGTGGCTTATTGGGTTAATTGAATGTGACCTAAGAGATTGTACAATTAAGATTGCTAGTCACAAACTGTGACATTCAACATGTTGTGCTACTTATTCAATTGAAGATTATGACTAGTTATGTTACTTGTGACACGTCGTGTGACAATTTGAAACATAATCCTTTATTGATTGTTAACTTTGTGTGACCGTGATCTAATCTTCGTAGGACTTTACCCAGATGTGAATGTGACCAATTATGTTAATAGATTGTGACCTCAACATAAATCTAAATGTGAACTATATATTTGTATGATTGTGACATGTTTCGCTTAACATGATATGTTTTTAACGTAATCCGTAAATAATACGTTAAAATTGTGACATATCATGTAGCAATTTGCGAATAATCCTTTATTAATCGTGACCTGTAACTTTATATGATCATGATCTACTCTCCTTAAGACTTTATCCAAATGTAATTGTGACCTATTAATTATTAGAATGTGATCTCATCATAAATCTAATGTGAACTACACGTTTGTGCGATTGTGATATGTTCCACCAAAGACTTTACTTGAACATATAGTTTGTGTGACTGTGATATGTTATATTAATTATATTGTTACCTAAGCTTTTATCTGAATAAGACCTATAAATTTGTGTAACTGTGACCCATAATGTTATTTAGTTAAGACACATGCGTTTGTATGTATGTCTAACTTCTAATAAAAAGGGGAAAGATGGTCTACTATTCATGCAATAGTAAATGAATCCAATTTTACGATGCATGATGCCATTTTTTATTTTTCATTTTGTTTATGTCAAACAAATGTTCTTCCATACATCATGCCACTAGCATTAAAAAAATAATAATAATTTTATCAAATATAAACTGCCATGAAAAAAAAAACTCTTTGCACATAAGTTTTAAAAAAAATAAAAATAAACTCTTCGCACAGTGTGGAGAGATGGCAAACCATGTGCGGAGTAAAAAAGGAAGGAAAAACTCTTCGCATAATGCGGAGAGATGACAAACCATGTGTGGAGAGTTGGCAAACTCTCCGTGCAGTGCAAAGTAAAAAAAAAAAAAAAATCTCTCCACACAATGCGGAGAAATGGCATTCTGTGCAGACTCTCCGTACAATGCGGAGTAAAAAAAAGCAAAAAAAAACTTCACACAGTGCGGAGAGTTGGCAAACTCTCCGTACAGTACGAAGTTTTAAAAAAAAAAACCTCTACACACAGTGAATGTCACGTGCGTTGCACAAATTTTGTATTTATCGTATTTTTATTAGTGTATGAATTTTAGTTTTTTAGAAAGTTTTTGAAACAATCTAGAAATATTTCCATGATATAAGAAAATAATTGCAAATTATTTTTACAATTGCATAACAATATTATGTCATCTAGAAAAAATATACTTGTATCTTTCATACTTGAATAAGAAATATACGAGTTTATACAAATTATTTTGCTTATATTATTTGATAGTGTTGATATTATTGAGTTAAATGTGAAGATTATATTTCTAAATTTTTTGTAATTCAATATTGGAAAATTGAAGATTAAGCATCATATTCATATGCATTTATATTTTGTGCTTCATATATATTTAATATTTATTTTATACTTATGTTGAAAAAATAATAATTTGAAATTTTTATTTTTTTGAAATTCGGTTTGGTAAGTGAATATACGGTGTTCTGCATTCTCAGTATTTGTAAGTGCAAAAATCGTTATATAAAAATACAGTAAGCTACAAATACGGTAGGCAGCATATATGGTGAGTTGCAAATACTGTAGGCAGCATATACGATGAGTTGCAAATACGGTAAGGTGAAAATACGGTAAGTTGTTTACAAATACGATAGGCAGCATATACAGTAAGGTGCAAATACGGTAAGTTGTTTGCAAATATAGTAGACCGCATATACGGTAAGCTGCCTGCAAATACGGTAAGCTGCATATATGAATTTATAATTTGTTATAAATGTATAAAATTTATTTAATAATGAATTTCTTAAGTATTAAATGTTGTAATTCAATATTTTTTTTATAATTGTATTTCTGAGAATTAAAAAAAAAAAAGTGGTTATGAAATTGCTAATTTTTAAATGTGTTTTTTTGTTGAAGATAAAAATGATTTTTTTATGTTATTTGTAAAAAAAAAAAAAAGTGGTTATGAAATTGCTAATTTTTAAATGTGTTTTTTTGTTGAAGATAAAAATGATTTTTTTATGTTATTTGTAAAAAAAAAAAAATTTATTGTAATTTTATTAGCGATTTATTATTTATTTTTATTTTTTGCATTTTGTGAAAAATTTTGTTTATAGTGATTAACAAATATTCTTCCACACACACATCATGCCAACAAAAAAATAATAATAATAATTTTAGTATATATAAATTTCATGAGACACAAAAAAAAGATTTCGCAAAGTGCGGAGAGATGGCAAACTATTTCTCCACATAGTGCAAAGAGAAAAATAAAAACTCTCGAGACTTTATCTGCAAGGTCCAAGAGGCATTTTCTCAAATAATTTTTAAGCAATGTATTGTACATTTTAATTCCTGACCTACAACCCGAAAGTATAATTTCATTGAAAATTGTATCCGCTTCTAATGTCCAAGAGCTATTATCAAGCAAGTGTAAAATATTGAATTTGGGTGGTACCCTAGAGCCTCGATTTGTGAAAGCAATGCCATGATACTATCAATATCCCCTTCTTTGCACAACTCACATATTGTTTCATTGTATGAATCACGAGAAAGCTCCTTTCCAATACCGTAAATATGATATGCATGCTCAGAAATTGAGCTGTGACTGAAATTTAAAAAAGACATAATTGATTTTGAGCCATGTTTTTTTACTATGTTTCGTTGTATATACGAAAAATTTAAAATCTTGAAATTTGACTTGTAATTAAAGAATTTGAAAATAACTCTCCGCACTATGTGGAGAGTTTTTTTCTCTCTGTACTGTGCAGAGAGTTGGTTTGTCATCTCTCCGCACTGTGCGAAAAGTTTTTTTTTGCTCCACATTGTGTGAAGAGTTTGTCAATTCTTCACACATAGTTCAACTTTCTCCGTACTGTGCGAAAAGGTTTTTTTCTCTCCGCACTTTTTTTTACTCCGCACATGGTTCATCTCTCTCCGCATTGTGCGGAGAGTTTTTTTCTCTCTGCACTATGCAGAGAGTTATGCCATGGTGCGGACCAACTCTTCACACTGTGCG